GACAGCGTCAGCGTTTTTACACCCTTCTTGGAATACCAATCGACAAACATTGAACCAAATTTTGAGTTAACCAAAACCTAAACTTTCTTTTCTCACTATTCACTAACACAAAACCAAACTTTGATGGAATTGCAAAACCTAACTTAGCTTGTATAATATATATGGTAAATATATCTACTTGGAATAAGATGAATGAATTAGTAATTTCAATTACCCCATGTTGAGGAAAGGAGATGGCTGATGAGAGAGCATGTAAGGATGCTGGATTTGATGCTGATGCTGCGGCGGAGGCGGAGGCATATTGTGGCCATGGTTCTGCTGATCCCACTGCTCTTGTTGTGCCCTAAGAATCTTTTCCCTCTCCTTGATCTGCCAATTTCAAGTTTCAAATACCAATTTATTTGTACCATATATATCCTCAGCATCATCCATTTTTCAGTGTGAGAATAGCATAAATGAATAGATCCCAAGACCGTGCCTAGCTTCTTTATGTAAAAAATAAATTAATCGTAGCCTAAGACTGATCCCAAATATTTAAGACCCATATTTTAATAAATTTGAGTATACTTAAGGATATAATAATGCACAAAATACAACCAATTCCTTGCATTCATGTAACGAAATCTTATACATGTCGTAAATATCTTCAGAAACTGCTTTTTTCCTTGCTTTCCAAACGTATGCACAATATTTTTTCAACTAGGAGTAGTGTCTACTGTCTATATTCAGATTCCCTATGTATAGATGACCTAAGTAGAATGAGGATGACATTTTCAAATTCAAATATTTCAATCCGAGAGACAACCTTAAAACTAAACGGACAAAGCCTATCTACGTACAGGCTGATGATTATATCAATGAATAGACAAAATCTACACTATTCAATTTTAAAATAAAGCAAAGATTTATATGGGGCCGACGTCAAGTGGAGATATGAAGATCTCATAGGTATAGCTTGGCTTGAAATGTGGAGTAGAACAGTGGAGGGTAACAGTAATGCCATGGAAAAAAATGTTGAGTGAAATATAAATAAAGACACGCGTCACCTGTTTTGAAAGCATGCTGTTTTGCTCCTGTATAGCCTTCTCCTGTCATTTCCGAAACGGCACGATTGTTAGCTTCCCTACGTTTTTTTACACGCAGTTTCTCTAGGTAAAGAGATACATTTGCTAGGGTTTTATTACATACCTTTCTTTGAAGCTCATTGATGGACTCGTACATAAGTTGATTCTGCATACACAAACATATTTATCACATTAACGTGCCAGTACTCATGAGTCTTATACACAACATAATTCATACATTTGAAATCAATCTCTACGTGATTGATTAATCATATTGAACCAACAAGATAAGCATATAAATATAGACATTTATGTATTCGAATATTCAAATAAACACTTGGATATGTTTAAGGTACATATGTATGCATACTTTTCTAGAGCGGATGTGCTTAAGAGCAGTGTCAAGCTGCTGCTCCAGATTCTGGAGCTCCTTAGGGCTCATTGCTTGCAAGTCGTCTCCAAGATAATGCCTGAAACTCAATTGCACATTTTGTTTACTTTCACTAGTGCAACCAATTTCTTATTTCATTTATACCTGTATAGAGATGATGAGTGAAAGTGTGTACCTCTGGTTTCTCTCCAAAAGCTCAATCTTTGCCTTGAGCCTGTTGTACTCCATCGACCAGTTCGTCTGCATATCACAAGTTTAATATAACTGTAAGTCATCAATACTACAAATAAAATGATATTATCTATGTGAGTTAAAAGGAGAGATATTACATTAACGTCGGACTCAGGTGCAATAAGCTGTCTCTCGGCATAAGAGTACCTCTCATAGCGTTCAAGGATCTTCTCCATACTGTTCAATTCACAAGCTAGGTTAGGGCTAGCCCATGTTTTCATGACAATTAGGGTTATGTAGCTAGGTCTTAATGATGGTTATATGCCTTAAACCGAGATTTCCTAGATCAAATCCAGTACAGATCTCTAGAATTTCTTCCTAACAAAACAGTATGATCCCTATTTCTTTAATTGCTTCGGGTTCTTAAAATTTGTTATAATTATGTACAGGAAAAACTTGTTAGAAATGACACATTATAATAAAATACTATAACCTGGTCAAATCACAAATTTAACAATATCAATTTGTTCAGAACAGATATAATACTTTTTTAAAGTAAGAAGAACAGCTGTTGCATGTAGGAGCTAAGTTTAACCATCGGTAAGAAGCCGATCTTAGGATCAAGTTATTTTTTTTTCATGGATCCCCAGAGGTCAAAGACTGCCTATTCAGATTTGACA